AAATTACTGTGCATTTCTCTATATTTCAATCCCAAATCATGTTTAGAAATGGGTGAGGAATAAAATTGGTGAAATTCATATAATGAAACCACAAAATTACTCTTTCTGCACCCTCTTCAATTTATCTCAGAGACAGATCTCAGGTAGTTGTATAACTTGTATATTTTAATTTAGGCTTTAAAGCTTGTAGTTAATTGTTAGAAACTGAAACTAGTGAAAATTTTAATTTCCTCAGCTAACTGCTAGGGAAATATACAGCAGTATAGGAAAACATAATTCTGAGATACTCTTTCAATCACCTTGGGGAAAAACACTGAATTGGAAAACTGTATATATAACACTCAATTATATTTTACCAGCCATATGGCATTAGATACATCTCTCAATCCTTGAGCCTCCTCACAGGGCTGTAGTAAGAGCGCATGAGGATACAAATGCGTAAAAAGCACTTTGTAAATGGTAAAGTACTACCCAAAGTTTGTTCCTTCCTAGGAATAACTAATTCCACTTTTCAGACTTTCTTTTGATTGTTCCGGGAAGATGATGGTCCTTGATCAAGGGAGTATGTACAGGGAGTTGTTTTTCCAATAAAGGAGAGGCAAACCTATCTCTTTTCACCGAGGTTCTTCTTAACTAATGGCATGTGTTTGTGAGGCAGCTTTTCCAGATTGAGTGTAGTCTCTAACCATGCATGGGACCATCAAAAGTTGGCTAGTCCACCAAGTTACATTACTAGCCTGATCCTCTGATGCAAAGCTTCCCACTGGCATGCCTGGTGAGCACAGCTATCAACTCCCTTAGCCATGAGGTAACCTGGGCCATCTGGAGCCCCTGAAGTAGTTACATCAAGCCAGTCCCAAACAGCTTTGTTGGTTTGCCCCAAAGTATTAAACAAATATTTCCTATGTGTAAAATGACATGAAAAGGGTTAGGAAATACTGTAGTCTAACCAGCATGACTAATTTGAATTCTGGACAAAATTAATTGGCAATAATAATTGATACTACTTTTAAAGCATTTTCCTTGTACTATATATGTATTTTAAAAAGTTAGTTTTAGTCTTGCAAAAACTCTGTTTTCATCCTTTTACAGAAGATGAAAACAAGACCAGAGCCAAGTATAGCCACCAGTAAATAGTTGCAATTGGAGTTCATGTCTCCCTAAAGTCACCTCTGGCAAAAGAAAAATCCCAAACCAATAATCATCTCATAATAATAAATTGGCTTACATTGTAATACAGAATCCATTTTATTTCTCCTGTGGACTATGCCTTTTTTACACTACTGGCAGGAATTTACATTTGGCTCCCCACACATTAAATATTTTCCAGAAAAGTGGCTAACAAAGCCCCCTTCTACAGTGGTTATTTCTGTGGAGGGACAGAAAGGATTGAGAGCTAGGCTTTAACTACACCTATAACCTAATTATCTTCTAAAGAAAACAAAAATCTGAAACTAGGTAAAATGTTAATACTTGCTTAATCCTTGTGATGGGTACATACATGTTTGTTATATATTATTTTTTGCTTGCTATTGTATTTGAAATGTTTCATAAGTAAAAGTTTTAAAATAGAATTACAATTCATGCAAAAACTCTTCCAAATTATCAGACATATACTTCTTTGTTATGAAATAAGTTGAATTTCTTAATCTACTTATGTGAACAAAAAGAGAATGAATCAAAGGATCACTTTAATTTTCAACTTGCCAGTCCCACTTCACATTTAGCTACCTATGCATTTGACAGAGCACCAATTTTCTTAATAAGTTTCCACACCTTTGAGTCATTTTGATTCATGCTTTTCAACCAGAGCCTTTTGCCTATGTCCTTGCAACTTCTTTCACAACTCTGGTGGTGGAGCTGGGGGACGTTGGGGAAGGTTTCAGAGAATATTGGAGCTAGGGCTGACGTGTCAGTAGGAGTTTGCCATACAGATAGTGGCCACTCCAAGCAGATGCAAAAACACAGAAATATGAACTAACTACTTGGTTCTTCCTGACTGATAAAACATTGAAAAATAAGTTAATTTGGAGGCTTGATAGTAGAGGTAGCAGGAGTGGTTACAGATGGGGCGTAGCAGTATCTAGAGGCCAGATCACAAAGTGTCTTCTATGCTAAGTTTTGGATTAATCCTTCACATCAGTGGTCACCATAGGAGTCTGCACTCATCTACTAAGATTTGAAGAAAATATCAGAATTTATCTTTATCTTTTCCCCATCCTTTAATTTTTGTTTCATTATATATATATGTATATATATAAGTATATCACTTCATATATATAATTTATAAGACACTATGCATATATCAGCATTTACTCAAATTTTTTATGATAAAAAAATGTAAAGATGGCAGCTTTAGACAATGGCAAGTCTCCTTCCCATATTCACTTTTTGCTGAGCCATAAATTCAGACTGATACCACCTTGTTGCTGCTAGGACTAACACCATAGTACTCTCACTCCTTTTCCTGTCTCTATTCTCTCCTGCCTTTCTTACAACTTCCTAACGTCAGGAAGGCAAGAAGATCCCTTCCCATTTATACACAGATGTGTGTTTGTTTAATTCAGCAGACATGTACAATAATAGGAATAATGTAATTCAGTTTGGAAGAGAGGTGTATGAGGAAAGGCTTCACAGAGAAGTTTGGACTCTGCCTATTAGGCATTGAAGAGTCTAAGGCAGGGTTCTCAACCTGTGGGTCGCGATCCCTTTGGGGGTCGAACGACCCTTTCACAGGGGTCACCTAAGACCATCGGAAAACAAAAAGATATTTACATTACGATTCATAACAGTAGCAAAATTACAGTTATAGAGTAGCAACGAAAATAATTTTATGGTTGGGGGTCACCACAACATGAGGAACTGTTAAGGGGTCGTGGCATTAGGAAGGTAGAGAACCGCCGGTCTAAGGGATTAAAATCCTTCCTTTGGGGCTCTTTTCCTCCTTGGCTGCTTCAGGGTCCGCCACCATCATGAACAACACAGTAACTATCCGGACCAGGAAGTTCATGACCCATAGACTACTTCAGCAGAAAAAAATGGTCATCGATGTCCTTCATGTGGGGAAAGCAACAGGGCCTAAGACAGAAATTTGGGGAAAACTAGCCAAAATGTACAAGACCACACCAGATGTCAGCCTTGTATTTGGATTCAGAACCCATTCCGGTGGTGGCAAGACCACTGGCTTCGGCATGATTTATGATTCCTTGGATGACGCAAAGAAAAATGAACCCAAACAGACTTGCCAGACAGGGCCTGTATGAGGAGAAAAAGAGCTCAGAAAAGAGTGAAAGGAACGCAAGAATAGAATGAAGAAAGTCAGGGGGACTGCAAAGGCCAATGTTGGTGCTGGCAAAAAGAAGTTGTTAAGATTTGTCGGTGGTGATTGTGCACATTTATCATGAAAGGATTAATAAACTAAGACCTTTTATGTGAAAAAACAAAAATCCTTCCTTTGGGGAATCAGCATGATGAAATTTAGTTTTAGGAAATGTATTGCCAGGAATCTGGAAAGGGGAATGAATGGGTAAGAAGTCAGGCTGGAAGAATCACAGCAGACTATTGTAATAATAACTATTGTAATGGTGCATCACTTTTTTGTTTTTTTAATTAAGCAGGTCTTACTGGGGTCCTCAATGTAACACATAAAAGCAATAAGTGAGTTCTTCCCTATTTAAGGAACCTAGGAAAGGAGGCACAGGAAAAGCAGGGCAGCAAAAAAAATTAAGAAATTAAGAGAAAAGGAAGAGAACTAGGGAGAGTATGTCAATAAAGCCAAGGGAGGTGCGAGTTTCAGGCAGTCAGTATGATTTAAAGTTAAAAAGCGGTCAGGACCGGCCGAGTGGCTCAGTTGGTTAAGAGCTCGCTCAAGAGTGTGAGCTCTGAGCAACAGGGTCACCGGTTCGATTCACCCAAGCTGAGCTGCCGCTGAGCTGCCAACAGGTGGCAGGATGGCTCAGCTAAATAAAAAAAAAGTTAAAAGTTAAAAATTGGTCAAGAGAAGGATTTAGAAGTGCTAAGATTTGGTAAGATTACTAGTGACCCTCTGTCATTAAAGCAGTGGCCACAGGTATCTGGCTACAATTGATTGAAAAGTCAGTGGGGCTCTATTGTGCCTGTTTTGAGGAGCCTGGTTATAAAGGGAAGGAGACTGGTAGTGTAGAGGAGTACACAGGCTCAAGAGTTTGTGAATGTGTTTAAAAATTAAGTACAGGTATCCCCCACATTCTGAAATTTCAATTAAGCCACTTTGTTTTATGAAAGACCTAATTAGTACGGTAAGGGCTTCTTTTCATAAAAGTGAAAATCCTCTGGATTTCTTTCAGTTAGTGAAAAAAGGTACTAATGTAGCTCTTTCATTAAAAAGATGTGGGGCCGGCCGAGTGGTGCAATGGTTAAGAACTGGCTTGGGACACCAGAGGGCCCCAGTTTGGATCCCACATATGAGGGCCAGTAACACTGCCCCCCACAGCTAAGATGCTGAACAACAGCTCAACCTGGAGCTGGGCTGCCGTGAGTCGCCGGCGACGGCGTAGACTGCAGCCCCTGTGGCAGTNCACAGTAGCCCATGGCAACCCACTGCCACAGGGGCTGCAGCCTACACCGTCGCCGGCAACTCACAGCAGCCCAGCTCCAGGTTGAGCTGTTGCCCAGCATCTCAGCTGTGGAGGGCAGTGTCACTGGCCCTCATATGTGGGATCCGAACCGGGGCCCTCTGGCGTCCCGAGCCAGCTCTTAACCAACACGCCACTCGGCCGGCCCTGTTTTTTTTAAATCATTTATAGATTTGCTTTTCCTATAATAAACATATTACTTTCAAATTGCAAAACTATAAAAAAGATTTTGGCGATTAGTCTTCTTTTTTCTTGGTTACGCTACTCTACTTGGTTCACTTCTCAGCCAAAAGCATGTTTTCATAGGCAATAGCAAAGTAAGTACTTAATGATACGTCAGAAAAATTAAGAGCTATTTTATCAATATTCCAGGTCATGGGAATATACCTGAAAATTGTGCTCGTAGTAGACACTCTGTTTCTTCAGAAAGTAGTTTCTCTTCCACCAGGGCATCAATTAACTGTATGCCCTCTCTCTTCTTGATCATCCTATTGTTTCTGAGAGCCACAAGTCTTTGTTGAGACATTGGCAGCATCTCTTCCACCTCAGCCAGGTTCTCTGCAGTTGCTGTTAAAGGTCTCTTTAAACTGTAGTTATGGTCCTCAGTAGCGAGCTCTTCAGAATTCTCAGGAGGTGGATCTTTTAGGACTTTAAGTCTTGCTTTACCTTTAAGGTGAACACCTTGGAGAACCTATGACAGAATCAGAAAAGGTTAGTTTAGAAATTATCACACAGAAGATTATAAAAATACCACTGAATGCAAAGCACTCATCCGGTTGCTGTCGAGAGTTATGAAAGAAAGGTCATAATCTCTGGGGTTTTTTATATGTATAGTCTAAAGGACAATGTAAACAGGGATTTTTTTTTTTTTTTTGCACCTATACAGAAATAGTAACATGATGCTGGAAGTTTCTGAAATGATTAAATTAACTGGAAAAAGGTGGTAATTCGGGAAGTTTTCATAGCTATCAGTTTTGAGTAGTTTTTTTGAAGGAGCAATAGCATGCATTAGTAGAGGGGATAGGGAAGTTACTTGTGCAAAAAGGAAGGCATAGTGGACAGAGCCTGAGCTTTTGGAATTAAGACCCACCTGGCTTTGAATTCCAGTTCCTTCACTTGTTAGCTGTCATTTAACCTCTACAATTCTTTATCTTCTCATTTGTTTTGAGGATACATGAAGATAATTTATGTAAATCTCTTAGTACAATGCCTGAGCCACTGCAGGTCTCAGTTAATAGTACTATTGTTGATTTTACACAAAAGCATGAAAGCAACTCAATTTACTACACATGCAGTTAAGTATACGAGGTCAGACAATTAAGTTCATGAACTAATCTTAGAAAAAAGTGCTACATACCTCATTGCTGAATATCACTACGGTCATCTTCGAAGTGCTCCCCTTGGGAAGCTATGCACCTACGCCAGTACCTAGTCCACCCTTTAAAGCAATTTTGGAACTCTTTTTCTGGAATGGCCATCAGAGCTATCGTCATATTACCCTTGATGTACTGAATGGCATCAAATGTCTTCCTTTCAATATTTCCTTTATTTTCAGGTAAAGAAAGAAGTCACTGGGGGCCAGATCAGGTGAGTAGGGAGGGTGTTCCAATACAGTTATTTGTTTACTGGCTAAAA